GGCCAGAGGACCTTGATGTCCTCAGCTACAGAATGGGAGTGTTTCCAGCTGGGTAGTGGAAAGGGCATGTCTGAGGGATACCAGGGTGTGACCACATGTGACTTGGAGCTGCCCTCCTGGTTAGAGCTGAGACACTGAGCCTTCTGTTCTTGCCTAAAACCACCCTTCTTCATCGCCTTGTCATCTAGCTGGCATCCCCAGTGGTCCCTCAGTTTGGGGAACATGTCCACCTCTTGACTAACAAGCATGTTGATGGAACATGACTTAAAGCTTTAGAGTTTAGTAAGTCTCAAGCCTTCATATAGAGAAAGACTTAGACCAACAAAGGAGGGTGGCCAGTTCAAGGCCAGCCCAAGCTCTATAGTGAGACACTGTGTCAACCCTTTCCCCAAAAACAGGTAACATAAAAGTCAATACAGGGAAGAGGGATGAAGGCCTAGGCCCACTGGGCTTGGGAAACGGCCATTTTAACTAGACCTCACACTGGTGTGGCGTTCCTGTGTGCTTGCGTGTCTGTTACGGGAAGTGCATTACGAAGCTATGTGTTTGTGTGTCAGGTTTGCCGTGATTTATGGCTAGGGAAGATCAAGGGGAGGAGGGCCGGCAGTGACTCTTGGTGAGCATGTTTCTTGTTTAGTGCTTTTAATGTGGGTGCCTTGTTCTCACTTGTAGAAAGTACTTAGAAAAAGCAAGCCAAAGATAAGTTGTCTTTGTTTCCCAGCCAAACCACACGGGTGTGATTGTGGTGGGAAGGAAGGAACTATGGCTACAGTTGCTTTGTCTCTGAGCTAGGAGGGGTTTTACTTTTAAAGTAATCATGACTTATGGATACCTTTTCTAAAATTTTTATTTGTGAGATATTGATACATTTCAACCAACGAGAAAGTGTGGTGAAGACTGTCTTGTATCTTGGCCTGTTTCTATCTGACACAATACACACCTTCCAGGCCCCACTCCCATCATTCCATGGGTGGGATTTCTGCTCACTCAAGTTCATTTAGAACCAACTCAAAGAATTTGTCATTGAGTGGGGCTGACCAAGTACTAAGACACACCACACTGTAGTACTTTGTAGAATAACAGTTTTGACTTTGGAGTCACTTGCTATATACCAGGCAGATCACTACATTTTCATCCCCATGGAGACCTCTGCAGTGGCTGTAATCCACTAACAAATGAGCCTGTTGCAAATCAGGCACAGGTAGGGGGAGCTGTCCTGATGCTGGAGGCCTCCTGCCCGACCACAGTCCAGACATGGTGCCTGCTCTCTCACAGGGACACGTGGTTACAAAACCCCCATCAGAATACCAGACCTCCTAGGAGTATATCCAGATGGTGGTGTAGGACAAGGCTCATAGTTATTTCTTAGGAGCATTGACATGTCAGCTTAGCTGGTTGCCACCTAAACAAAGATCAAATTCTTCCATAGAAAGTCGTATCTTTACCTGTGGTCCTTACAGGTTGAGCATCCCTAATGCCAAATGCTCCAAATTCTCTAAACGTCAGACTTCCCCATTAGTGATATTCAACTGATAATGTCTGTGCAAATATTCTAAAGTTCAAAAACCTTTTAAATCTTCTTGTCTCGATCTCCTCAGCTATGAGCTATCAAGCTGTGTTCTCATTCTACAGAGAATAAGGCTAAGGTTTAGGAGATTTGTCACTCTGCCTCCAGTCACATAGTAACTAACCTAGCAGGGCTCAACCCTAGTCCTTCTGATTCCAAATACCACACTCTTAACTAAAGAACAAGCTATACACTTTTTTTTTTTTCTGCCTAATGAAATACTTGTGTTTATCTTACTGTGTGAATTACCCACCATCGAGGACAATTGGTCTTCCCGGAAGAAGCTGTATGGTCAGATGGTGGTTTTGTCCACTCTCTGGCACACAGCACAACCCAATTTGAGACACTTAGTACTGTGCCAGTTAGTGGTTCTGCTTGAAATAATAAAAGGCAGCACAGTTCACTGCCTTTTTTTTTTCTTCTGAGCATTTATACTTTGAGTAGAGGTTTAGAGGAGGGGAAGAAAGCCGTTGAAGGGCTGAGGAACCAGATTTTCACCTGAGAATAAACCATTCCAGGCTCCTAGGTGGACTCCTCATTGCACTGAGGTTCCGTTCTTAGTCACTGCCATGTAAATCATACCATCTTCAGCACCAAACTTAACTCAGTCAAAGCATGTAGCTTTACTCCTGTACAGCCCAACATAGAAAAGACGCTTTGTATATCTGGACCCTGTTGCAGGAATCACTTAAGTCCATCTCTTTTGGATTTCAAGACAAGATTTCTCTGTGTTGTCTGTCTCTCTGGCTGTCCTGGAACTCACTTTGTAGACCAAGCAGTCTTGAACTCACAGAGATCCATTGCCTCTGCCTCCTGAGTGCTGGGATTAAAGGTGTGCACCACCACACTGGCTAGGAGTGGGCCACCTTTGTTACAAATGTAAAATCAGGGATTTTTTTCTTTTCCTTTTTTTTAGTTTTTATTTTTTTATTTGAATAAGAAACAAGATTGTTTTACATGTCAATCCCAGTTCCCTCTCCCTCCCCTCCTCCCCTCCAACCACCCCCCAACTAAAACCCTACCTATCACATATCCTTTCTGCTCCCCCTGGATGGTGAGACCTTTCACAGGGTGTCATCAGAGTCTGTCGTGTCCTTTGGGATAGGGCCTAGGCCCACCCCCATGTGTCTTGGCTCAGGGAGTAT